AAACAATGATATTTTTTTTTTGCTTTTAATTTCTAATATACATATATAATATAGTTTATACTTATTGTTGATTCTCACCTAGTTTGTGACTAAAAACTGCTCATGAAATACTGCCCAATATTTTTAAAATTTTTGCTGAACAGAAGCTGGACAGCATTTACTTATTATTTTTCTTACCTAGTTTCTGACCAAAAATTGCTCATGAAATACTGCCCAGTATTTTCAGATTTTCTATTGGACAGAAACTGGACAGCATTTACTTATCATTTTTATTGTTTAGTTCCTGACCAAAAACTCCTCATGAAATACTGTCCAGTATTTTCAGAATTTTTACTGGACAGTAGCTGGACAGCATTTTCTTAGCATTTTTCTTGTTTAGTTCCTGACCAAAAACTGCTCATGAAATACTGTCCAGTATTTTCAGAATCTTTACTGGACAGAAACTGCCTAGTATTTTATTACTATTTTTTCGTGCATAGTTTATGGCCAGTAACTGGCCATCAAACAATAGTCAGTATTTTCTGGACAAGTTTTGAATAGTTACTGTCTAATTAATTTTACCCAAGAAAAACTATCCAGTTTCTGGTTAGTGACCAGTTTTTCCTTGAAATTTTTCTACACGCAAATTGTTACACGCGAAACAATATTTTGCTGCTTCAACTAGAATTATAGCTGTTTTTTTGTATCTGATAGAAAATTATGTATCATACGTATAGAATTTATAGCACAAATCTAAATTCTATCTCTGTCATATATATAATTAGATGCGATACATATCCAATATTGTTGTGCTTGCTAGAAATTTATCTGTTTTAGTTATTTTTCGTATTTAATAAATAATTTTCGCTATAACTGCAAGATTACTTTTTTGAGTGTAATGATGTTATATCGGAAAGATCTTTAGATTGCTGTTAAACGATTTCGTGATATCTAATTGCTTAGAATATTATCAAATTGATAAGGCATAATCAGATGACAGAAAATGAATAAATATAGAGGAAACTCCGTATCTTCGGTAGTTAAATTGTTACCGCTATCATGGCTAGTCAAATACAATTGATTTTCCTCCTCGTGATCGCAGTGTGCATGGTGCATAGTACACCTCTTACAGTCGAACAAAACGCTGAGTAAGTTCGTATGCTCTTAATTTTTCATGATCTTACTTTTGCTATTTATTCGTTCTGTAATTAAATCTTTGTATTACATTTTACAGAGACTAAAACTTTTCTTTCTCATGTCTACTTTAATCTTACATTACTTGCACGAATTTTTAACGTAATTATTCGCATGAGATCGCGTGAGATATTTTTGACACACCAATATTATATCTCAATTTTCATTGTTCTCTTTGAGGATTTATAATAAATGAAGATTGATAATATCAATTAGATAAAGAGATAAAAACAAAATATTTATTCAATTGTAAAACAATTTGCGTTAAATGTAATGTGCATAAATAGTATTTATACATTTAGCGAATTTCTAAGACTGGACATCCCACGCGAGTAAAGGGTTATTGCAATTTGCAGTTAACTTTACGATAACTAAAAAATCGTACGCGCCAGATATACTTCTTCAATTTCTTAAGGAATAAAATTTAAAGTTTTTATATACGTTTTATATATATAAATATATATGCAAAATTTGTAATTAATATATATATACGAGCTTCGAAAGTTTATTGCATACTGGTTTCATTTAAATGAATTGTGAATGAAGCGTTCAACAAATGTGTATTTTTATATTATGCAGTTCTGGGCAAAATGAAGAAATAAGAGCGAATCTTGATAACGTAATTGATGCTCTATTGCCTTCTGTACGCCAATTCATCTTGAGTAATGGAATGGATCCTATGCAACTCCCCAACGTTTCTACACATATTTTCCCACATTTGGTATGTAAGAATGAAACTAATAATGAAATCTTTGTTCCTACAAAGATTTTTGTTAAATTCTGTAAAAAGTGATAAATCAAAGTTTATCTTTCTAAGACACCAATGATAAGATCCACTGATATATATTTCATTCCGATTATATTTGAAAATAATACTTTTAGACTGGGAAACTCAAGGGAAATCTTGACCTCAAGAATGGGTGGATACAAAATTTATCGCTTGTAAAGCGCACTCAACATGTGACTGCAACATATAAGGACAAACGTTTGACGATAGATATGAATTTGGGATTTGAAGTTATGAGCGTAAGAACAAGACGGATATGATGCTAATTAATATTAAAAAGCCACTACAATTTATAGAAGACTTATATCTCAAAATTATGTTTCTGTAATTTTCAGTTTAATTATTATTATAATCTGAAGCATTTACTATATAAGAGAAAAGGTGATATATACGGTCGTTTACACGATCTTGATGTCCATGTCGTGACGACGATCGATTTAAATAACTACTACTTACTTCTCGATTCCATAAAGTTCTCTAATGTCTGGTAAGTATTTCATGTTTCCTTTCGTACACTGAGAGAAAAATGTTTCATATTAAAATTGTATTATAATTGCATGATAAAATAATTCTAATTAGCTCCATTTTTATAGTTGAGGTGTGCCATGAAAGTTAAAATGTTAAAATTAAATGTTTAATGTTTCTATAAGTGGAGAAAAATAGGTAGTGCAATTCAAAACGTTGTAGGTCCATTATACAATTGATATTTTTATTTGAGTCTACAACGTTTTGATTTACATTTTACTTGAACTTACATTTTGAAATTTTAACAACTTTGAACACAATTTTTTAAAAAGTTAGTATTTAATTAAAAATTTTTGTAGAAACGTAAGTTCGATAGTTTTCTTTCAAGAAAATGAATTTTTCCTTTTTTTTGAAAAATTAAAAAATTACACTTACTAAGTTTTATTTTGGCACGCCTCAGTTGTTATTAAAATATTAGTAATATTAATTATATTTGTAATTCCATTGAAAAATATATAGTTAGTATTAGAAATTACTATAAATTATAGTTGAATTATGATAATTGCAATCATTTTTTTCTTTCGGTGTATTATTTACTCGTCGTATATAAAATACTATACGTAGAGATTTTATGCGATCAAATCGAGCGCAAATATTTATCAAATATTTGAATGTCATAAATTATATTCTATTGATTGATGATAGGACTGAGTTGTTTTCGTAACACATATTAAACAGATGCAGTAATGAAACGATGTAGTAAATAATCACTGTCCGATATCTACATTTGATAAGTGCAGATATCGGATATTATTATCATCTACTATATTGTTTCGCTACTGCACCTGTTTAATATGCCGTCACGAGAAATGATAATAATCGTCCTGTAAAAATTTCAATTGAAATTTATCAAGATGTGTCACTGATACTTTTATTTTCAACATCTGTACTCGCAAGCATCTTTTTTTATCTGATAGCTACGAAATATTGGTGTAGATTTAAATCGCAAATTTATCTTACGAGTTTAATTTAATTTATGAACAATTTACAAACATAAGTATATCATAAGTTTTTGCTAATTTCATTCGCGTAATAATTTCCTTTTTACTTTCGTCTTTCGCAGGAAATTCGACGTACAATTCGGGGGTAATCTTTTGGATCCTCTTGTGAACGGTTTGACTAAAATAATCATAAAGGTTTTCAAAAACCCCCTATTAAACGTCATTGAGAATCGTGCCAAATCGAATTTCGGCGTACAACTTAATGATTGGAACACAAATACTCCACAGTCAGATCGTATAGCAATAATATATAAATGGCTCGACATTGCGAAATCCGAATTTAATAATTAATTCTTGTTATTCTATGGTATATCCATGATTTTGTACCCTAAAAATATAAGCTGATTAAATCATTGAACTTATAATATCAATATCAAGCATTTATCACTGATCTCCAAGCATTTTATTATCCATTTTATTTTCCACAGTTTAAGGATGTATCAGATCTATGTAGTCGCTGTAAAAGTAACTAGAGAGAGAGAATTGGAAATTTATTTCTGCATAAAAATAAATGCTATATATTATACTTAACAGTATATAACAATTTTATATTTTTAATGAAAATTTTCAATTATTTCTTAAAAATATATCTACTTTTTATTAAAATAAGCCAAGTTTTAAATAAGCCACAATTATTTTTTATTACTTTTAAATACAATTAGAAAAAATCTGTAATCTTTTTATAGCTTTTCCATTTTGTTAAAAAATACATACAACACCTTTAATTCATAAAATTAAATTTAAAAATTGAAGTATGGCCTTGTTAATCAACTAACTTCGTAATGTAAAGTTATCTTCGCAAGTAAATTATTTTTATTCTATCAAAACGATATTAATTATTTTTATCATTTAACATAATAATTATAAGTATAACAATAGTTAAGCTATCTGAAGAAATATCTCTACGAACAATTAATACATCATTAACAGACGCGCGTCAAACTTTACAGAGTGCCGCGAAAATTATTTGATGTATACACTGTGCTCATAAGCGACGACAAACTACGGTAGTTTCGATGGGCAAACGGCGAGTAGTCAAACTACCTAAAGCGACGATCAATATGCATTACTTACAACACTGTTAAGCTGCAACTTTGCGAGCACTCCTGCCGCTTAATCTTATTAAACTTAGTCGGGTTTCTCTCCGGCACGTCGCGTCTTGACGCCGTTGTTTTGGACGCGAACGGCGATAGCGCAATCTGCATAGAGATAGCTCCATGAAAGGCCACGGGGGGTGGTCTCCGGGGATATCACGAGAGGTGTGCGTGGTAATCTTGTTTATACATACAACATTGCGGATATCGCAAGCACGAAACCGCCGATCGATAATGTCGACCGATTCCAGGTGCTAATGCTAATATTATATATATATTCTTCATTTTCACCACCCTGCTTTACCCTCATCCAAACATTCCTATTAATTTATCCCTGCCCCAAACCAGAACCCTTCTAACAGAAGTTAATTTGTTGGTATAACACAAAGAAAAGTACTAACGCTTCGTATTCATTAAAAGGATTAAGTGAATAAATTGCTATAAAAATAAAGCAATGAAAAATCCAATATTTCATTTCAGTATAAAGAACGTAATTATTGAAAATAATTTTAAATTCCTATCTTTTACAAGAGAAATATAATATTAATCGAAAAAATTGACCGCTCTCAATTTTCGCTCAAGTTTTATTATATTTAAAATGTTAATTTTATAGATTACACTTGGCGTTCTCGCTTTACTTTTATCATTAATTAATGAAGAGAATTAGTTTAATAGGGGCTGAAGCTTAATGACATTACTTTTCCCCTAAAAAACATTATGTGTTAATACATACATGCGACGATGGTTGCCTATCATCAGGTGTATGTAGATACAAAAACGGCCTGTTTACTCATATTTAATTAACATTTGTAACGTGCATAATCATTATACGTCTACATTTTATTAAAACAGCATTTACAAATGCACATTTATATGATATTCGTTTAGCGAGCGAAGAAAGTATTTCTATCTTGCGTAACACCATTTTATCCGAATTTAATTTTTAATTACGTTGCACGAAATTTTTCGCATAAAATTATATAATATTTTTATCCAATTTTATCCAATTATTATTACACTGAGAAAAAATTGTTTATTTGACTAAATTTATTATGTTGTCTTTATTTTTCGGTATTTAAGTCAAATACATTACATTTAATTTAAATATGTACATTTTTCACAGCGAAAAAATAAAAACAAAACTAAATTAATTAATTTAGTTGAAAATGAACATTTTTTTTCTTAATGTATGTAAGACTTATCACATTTTATATGAACTTGCATTGCATGTAAACGTGAGTTGAGACTCGCTATTCTTAAAAGTTCTATTTAGCTCGACTCGAGATAATCCGCAATATCTCAGCTGTCGTGAGGACGAATTGTGCGATTCACGACAGAATCGCGTGCTTCCATTATCTACGATGATATCAAGGCATACCTATCTGGTTTGTGCTTCACATACTGGATCAGATACTCAGTATAGGGAATCAGGAGAAAGCCGCTATTGTCCATCTACGTGCACCTAGTATGCGACATCCCTCCCTATCATTGATTATGATACCTGCATACCGAAGGATTATAAACTGCATTACCCGCTACCGCGTCGAACAGACATCCTTGATGCATCTAGACGAAGTTGACTCTCTCTCGACGCATTTGTCGATAGATTTACTGAAAGCCGTCGGATTTAAAGGCAATTTCTCAATTATCTCGCCGTTAAAATCGTTAATCTTTCGAAAATTACAATTTAGTTAGCATTCATTATTAACAGGGTTGGGTAATGCTAAGTTAAAAAGATAAAAGTTATAAGTTAAAAAGTTAATTAATTTTAATTTAACTTAGTTACATTTTAGACTCTTAACTTTTTAACTTTATTTAGTTACATTTTATCCGTAACTATTAATTTTTTATTTAACTCTGTGAAGTTAAGTCTCAGACATAATACGCAGTAATAGCGATAACTTAAAATGAGGTGAAAATTGCAAAAGTGAGCAAATTTACTAGGTATTGACCAATGAAATTCTAAATATTCTAGTGAATTTGCTCATTTTTGTATAATTTTCAACTCATTTCAAATTACACAATCGACCCCCAGATTTCAATCTGTCAGAAACCGTGTATTTCGATGTATCTAGTTTCTGATAGGTTGAAATCTATTATTCCTTATTACTATCGCTATTCTCTCGTATTGTGTCTGAAGCTTTAGTCATACCACAGGCCAGTATGTATAGTCGAATCTTATATACTAAACAGTAAATATAAACAAAACATGTAAATAAATTATACACTGAGAAAAAAATGCTATTAATTCAATTAAAGTCTATATTACGGGCTGTCACTAACATAAGTGATTAATTTATGCGTATATTTTATTGATATAAAGGCTTGATTATTGAAATAATAATTTATACCTTTTTGTGTTATATAATAAAAATATACATGAATTAATCACTTATGTTAGTGACAGCCCGTAATATAGACTTTAATTGAATCAATAGCATTTTTTTCTCAGTGTAGAGTATTTTTTAAATAAAGTATATATTTGTCATTTCCGTCATTTGTAAGACTGGAACCCTGGAATCATGAATTAAAAAAATAAAAAAAAACAAATTTAACTTTTAACTTTTCAATTACTTTTTTTTATTAACTTAACTTTTAATTTAATTAATTTTATTATAAATTAACTTGTATCTTAACTAAATTAAATTTTCAAGACTGTTAACTTTAACTTAACTTAGTTAAAAAAAAAAGTTAACTTACCCTGATTATTAATAACAAAATTATAAAATTTACAAAACAGTAGCAGTTTTTTCAGACAATAAACTTTTGTCAATTTTTTATTGTCACTTTTTAAAAATAATTATAAGCTTTAGAAAAAATATATGAACAGGTACATCAATTTGGCATACTTTGAAGACATTTTTTATGTCAAAATAAATATATAAATAAATACATATGTATATATTATACATATAATATGACATTAGAAGTACCAACATTTCTTATTTACTAAAAAGATCAAGCAAATAAATTACCATAAAAAAGAAACCAAATATTTTATCAATATGAAGGATACAACTATTGAAAAATTTCGGAATCCTCTATTTTTTAAATAAGAAATATAATATTAATCTAAAAAATAGAAACAGTCAATAATGATCACTCGGTACTTCAAGTGTTAAGATATAATTTATTAATATTATGATATTATTTATCGTCTCTTTTAATTTAAGATTTTCAAGCCTGCTTGACAATAATGGTTTTCAGGAGATGGAAGGTAACTTCATCTTGCTAGAGCACAACTTCTGCACTCACATCAGCCTGACGCGGTATTATTAATCCGAAACGTTTCGTGGTGGGGGACAAGGGCAGATGTAACTAACGAGGATTTTCTCCTTTCCTCCTTTGTCTCTTTGTATTTGCCGACCAGGCGGAAACTGATATGAGACACGCCGACATATTACTTCAACTTGGACGCTGATTAGCAACGCGACGCGACGACGGGTGCATATGGAGAAATGTGGGAAATATGACGAAACGGAGAGATAAAAGTTCAGGCGAGACCGTAAGGATTTATGATGAAGATAAGCGGTCAAATTGTACGCAGGTTCTATGTGAAATCGCTGATTTCGGAGGAAATTAATTTTCTTCGAATTGGAATTCTCGCGATCGAAAATTAATTTTCCTCGAATCACTCGATGTGGATGTGAATAAAATTGATTTTCTATGTCTGCTTGTAATGAACGTCGCGAAATCGCTCTCTTGCGAAAATGGCTTCTAAATAAAAATAAATCTACATTTACATTCTTCTATAATTATATTTCTTGCATTATTACGTGTTCAAATAAACACGATAACTTTACATTTTCCGTGCATTTCTTGCATGTATACCGCACACAAAAAGTAGATACATTATTAAATTCATAATATCAATTATATTCAATTTGATTTATTTTTAATTATTTTTATATGTTGTCACTGCTTTTACACATGTCATTAATTCAACTAAAGCAATGGAGTTAAACAATTTAATTCAAAGAATGTATTAAATTGGATTCAAATTGAATTCTATTATTCACTAAATATTTAATGGACGTTGTCTACTTTGAAATTAAAAAATTTAACCCCTAAAAAATGGATTGATTTACATTTTAACATTTTTGATACACATGGAAGTTCAAAACAGTTCATTCACATTTCATTTATTTCTTATATATATTTGTGTCTCTAAATAAATACGGTAACTTCATATTTCTCTTATATTTCTTGCATGTATAAACTTTTTTTTCTAGATCGTGGTTCCTTGATTTTATTTGAATTTACACTTGATTTCGCAAACTCACAAGCCTACGTTCTTTCATTTGATAACACGGTCTTTCTCGGATATAAAGTTATAAGTTTCTCATTTCACAACAACTCTCGCGTGGTGATTTCGCAGAGTCCTTTACTTCGGCAGATCCTTGAATACTTCACGAGTGAGGCGACTATTAATAGAAACGCGAATCATGAAGTGGGATCGTATGGGGCAAGGTTGCTAAAGGAGTGCCGTCGCCACGACTTCGCGAAGTCGGTCGCAGCGAGTACGCGCCTATTAATAAACAAAATTAATCGTATTTGCACAGATGCAATGTTGCGATGTCGTATGATGTCCACTTGATCCGATGGGACGTGATAGTTTGATCGGAGTATCCAATATATCTAATCAAGCTAAGCATATAGTTATTAATCTGATATATTTTATAACGATAATTTGATTATCAAATAAAATATTATCGTATCTTCAAAACCATGTATCTACAAAACATTATTAAGAATTAAATTAATAATAATAATAATAATAATAGCTTTATTGAACGCTGTACAGGTTTACAGTTAAATTGAAAGCAACTCGTATAGTACATGACAAAATACAATATCAAAAGCATATTACAATAGGCGTGGCTGATTTGATGGCTAACCTGAATAACTAATTATCAACGATAAACATGTGAAAGTACAGTGTACTGAATGCAAATATGCACATATATTAGACTCAGATTACTGTTTTGTATAATACAAGAATATCAGGTGAACTCGACGAACAGTATACTATAAGTACGATAATTAGATGAACAAATTATAATTATAAAATATTTAAGAAGCAAAAAGATAAACTAGTAATTCGATGAAAAGTACATAAGCACGATGAATTAATGTAGAAACGAAAACTTAATGAATTAAAATTCAATCAATAGACTTAAAAGTTATGAGCAAAACTGAGTTTTAATCTTTAAAAAACTGGGATTTAACCTTTAAAGAGATTTTTATCTTACAGCTTAATTTTCCTTGAATAAGAGTTTGTTATTATTTATTATTTTATTATATGTTTACCTCAAAATATAACTATTTCAATGCCACTATAATAGCTTTCCTTTCCTATAAACGTTAATGCTAGTGAATAATAAACAGTAAGTGTATTAAAACCCAGCTTAGCTCATCTCTAATCCTGCTTATATAATAAACACTAAGTGCATTAAAACAACAGCTTACCTAAAGCTTGGATCACATAATCCTTTAATTCTATTGATTATTAAGAATATCTACAATTATACAAATTTCAACTTTAGTTCCTGTTAAGGAGTAGCCTAAATCGCTTAATAATACTGTTTCCTTCGTTGTGGCATCTCTGTATCGATTTTCCTCCTCGGTCCTGAAATCACGACCGAGAGATTCCCAGCAGCCGAATTGTGGGCTTGATGCTGGACATCGCGCGGCTCGCCACGGCCCATGTCGAGGCCGAGGCCGACCGAGTGATGCCGAGCCGGGTCGAGCAGAGCCGAGCGGACAAGCTTAACGAGCTGACGATGCGCGCGTACGTTTCGTTGCAACGCGATGCGATGCGACGCGACGCGACGCGACGCGGCGCGGCGTGGCTACGCGCGGCTACGCGCGGAGCCGCGATAAAGCCGACGAGCAGAGCGGATGCGTCGTTTCGCAGCGGGTGACGCGACTGCAGCTGCACGCCCATTCAGTAGCGGCCATACATTACTTAAACGCCAAGGCGCATTCGTTTTCGGCGTAAATGAAGGCTTCGCTCGTCCTTAACGGAAAGCTTATTTGATTTGTGAAAAAAAAAAACAGAATTGAAGAGATATTGCTCGATTGAATATTGAAACGCTATTAACTTTTCAAAATTGACATCAAAATTTATAATACAGTTAGATCCTGAATCTGTAAAACCATTTAATTTATGTTAATTAAAAAACACTAATTAACCCTTACCGTACCAATATGGGTAACTAGTGACCCAGCGATTCCTGTTTGTGCAAGTTTCTTTGAGTCTTTCGGTAATTATAAATTATATATATATATACTACATTTTATTATTTTCCAAAATAAAGAGTCAATATTTATTCTAGAAAGTTGAAAGTGTGTTGGAGAATTTTTAGAGATTTAAATTATTTTGAAGAGGTGAAAAAACAAAGAGATTTTAGTGACCCTTGATAATATGGATGAGGCACCAAATTGTACATGGTACATAAGGGTTAATTTCAAGGAACCAGAATGATATATAAAAAAATAAATACTTCTCAATCGACACAAACTAAAAATAACAAATCAATGTATAATTTCGCACTCAACAATTAACTATGATAACATATGGTATTATATAACAGTTACGTTATGGAGTGCGAAATTATAACGTTGATGTTAAATTATTTTTAATTGGTGTCGATTGATTGTAGAGCATTTAACAAATGTAAGTATATTTTAAATGTAAGTATATTTAACAAATGTAAGTATATTTTAATAAAAATAATTTGCAGATGTAACATAAAGGAAATTGAATTGCTTGACATTTTTGATGGAGATTTGTAATCGAGTGAGTCTAATAGACTCGTTGTTAACTCCGGAAGGTTAAATCTGTGTTTAAAAGATAGGTAATCGATAACAAGTTGCCACGCGGAGTTGCCATCTAGTTTGTTTCAATGTTGTTGCGAGTGCGAAATGATAACTTAAATCGCGAAAGTTTCAATGAAACAAGAGGAAAAAAATTACTTTCTTAAGAAATAAAGAGATCTTATTGTATCTCACACACGCGCACATATTGATATATATTCTGAGAAAGTTATTCCTTTCTATTAAATTCCAAAAGTTATAAAATTAAAGCCGATATTTATCGTCGATTCTTATATTTAAGACCTTCTTAAGTATATAATCTTAAATACAATCTTAATCCTTAAATACATGATGGGTCATTCATGAGTTAATTTTCATCACATTTACATAAAAGTATACAAAAATTATTAAATGGTTCTTATATATTTGTAAGGTCGTGTATTAAAAAAAAAAGAGAAAGAATAGAGACCACCCCAGACAACATTATGCTCAAAATGCGGATCTAAGACGTCTTATGCCTGCACTTGTAACGTAATGTTATCTAGGCATTATTTAACCAAGTGTTCCTAGTATTTCAAAGAAAAGAAATGCGCAGGACACGACCTTATTGTGTGAGCTAAGGATTAAGTCATAAACCAATCAGATGTCCGTATTCATAGTCAATCCTTATATTTAATGTTTAGGTCTTAATCCTAAAATCCTAAAATTCAGCCAATAGAGCTACCAGTTCTAATTGGTCCTAATTAAAATCTGTATTCCATTGGCTGAACCTGGCATTCGTCTTTCTTAAATTTATCTTCAGATGCTCTATGAATTATTTTATTGGCTACTGAATATCTAACGATAAACTTAAGAAAGCTTTATAAGGCTTGATTATGAATACAGGCAAAAGAATCCTTGATTACAAAATAAAAACGGACTATGAATACCCCAATCTGTGAGTCAGCCAAAAAAAAAACTCAATCTAACAATAACATTATATCAATATTATAATTTCCCATTTAATACAAATGTAATATAACACATATGTTATACATAACAGACACATTGTTGAGCAGGAAATTATATTGAAGTAATTACTACAAGTTTATGTTCAACAGGAAGCTGTTAGAGAAAACAATTGTGCCGCAAGGAGTTGATGAATTATTGATTACTGACTACCGACATGATTGTTTCTGTACAATCAATGACTGCGTTCAGCAGAGAAAATTAATCAGTTAAGGTTCAGTGATTCTTTAATATGATTGGTTTCTGCCTTTAGTTCTTTGCTGGATCTAAGTGAAGAAACCAATCATATTAAAAAAATCACTAAACGCTAAACTAATTAGTTTCTTCGCTGAACGCAGCCAATGCTATCTATTGACGGGAGTAGTTTCAGCCACGAGAGTAGTTTTTATCGAGTTGCATTCGATTCGACGAATACTCCAATTAGCGTCCTAATATCATCTTCGATCCATTGGTTATCCGCTCGAGGCTCGCGTGTACCTCCGCCCCTGCTCGCTCCTTCGAGCGCCCGCGCCAGTGGTGGTTTACTCGCTCGGCG